TCAGTATTGTTTGAGTGTATTTTTGCATTAATAGGACTACTGAAATTGTGGGATTGTAGTCAAGGACATGAAATTGGGAAGCCTGATTTGCTTTTTTTACCTATCTGAATTCAGTCAAAGAACATATGAATTCAATTATTGCTTTGCTAGAATTTAAATGGAGTTGATATATCTGGAATAATGCCTATGTCTACTAAGGGCTTTGGAACTTTTATTTTCCAACGTAGAAGCTATTAGAATTAGCAGTTCTGCTTCTGAATGTTGCATATGGTTTTTTGTTTAGTCTGAAGCAGATCAAAGATCAGGATTCCATCTTACAGTCAAAATATTTGCTGCTCATCCTAGCCACATCTATTTGCAGAAATAGTCTAATCTCATACATCTTACTGATACAAACCACAGTTCTTTTGTACATCTGTAAAACAGTTGTATGCAAGAGGATGCTTGTTGTGTTGGTGTTAACAGAATATGTAATCACAGCCACAAACTGATATTTGAAGAATGAAGCTAAAACTCCACTTTGTTAAAAATGAAATAAGATTGGCTCGACATGATCTACTTTTAACAAACCCATACAGGCAACTAGTTATGACTTTATTTGTTTCTAGATGGTCACAGAACTGTTTTTTTTTTTATTATTTTTTCCAGTATCTTCCCAGGTATTACTGTTAGGCTGATTGGTCTGTAGTTCTCTGGTTCTGGTTTTTTTTTTTTTTAAATATGGGAACTGCATCAGCTCTTTTCCAATCCTTTGGTAGTTTCCTAGTGTTCCAGGATTTATGAAAGATATGATGGTTAGACAATGGTTCTGAGATAACATCTGCCAGCTCTTTTAGAATTCAGATGTAATCCATCAGGTCCTAGTGATTTATATTCATCAAGGTTGGACAGGTGTTCTTACCATTTTCTTGCTTATTTTAATTTGTATTTCTAGTCTGTCTTTCACAGTTATGTGTTTGCTAGGTTGGGCTATAGTTTATTTTTATGTGAAGACTGATGCAAAGAGTTAAGTAGCTCTGCTTTCTCTCTACTGCCTGTTACTTCATTGCCATTTTCTCTCTTTAATGGACCGACTGTTTCCTTGATTTTTTCTTATTATTTGTACATTGAAAGAAACATTTTTATTGTTTTTGATTTTTGTTGCAAACCTTTGTTCATTCTGAGCCTTTGCTTTCCTGACTTCATCTTTGCAGATTCAGGCTATATGCTGATATTCTGTCTTAGTTATGTGTCCCCTTTCCCATTTTTATACTTATCCTTTTTGTCTTCCAGTTTATCAGAGAGATTTGTACAATCATGCTGATGTCTTCTTGGACTTCTTATTTTTCTTTTTAATGATTTTGTTTGGATCGGGCTTTTATGATATTTTCAGAGTCTGCCATGCTTCTTGAGTTGTTTTCCCCTTTAGAATTTTTATCTATGGAATTTTTCTCAGGGTCTCTCTCGGTTCATTAAAATCAGTTTTTTTAATTTAAGACACTGGTTGGATTATATTCTATTGCTTGTGTTTGCACTATATAGAATTTGTTTGCATTACTTTGAATTCTAGAAAATTATAATAAACATAGCTCTCTGCAGATATGCTCTTTCAAATAAGTACAGACTTGGGATCACTTCTAGATGTATTCCAACACACTCATTATAAGAGATGTCCTTTGTGTTGGGCTGCTGGAATAATACTGTTATCAATAAACCTGTTGAATATGTCTGAAACAAAGGGAATATCCTTATTGGCAGATAAACCCTTTTACCATTAGAAAAAAAATCAGATCATTATAAATTATTAGCTATTTCATTAGCAACTTACTCAGATGCTTAGCAGTTTCTTCAAATGAACGAAAAGTTGGGTTTTTTTTAAATGCCTCAAATACAGCAAAATTACTGAAAAGCTTCAATGTGGAGGAGTAGTCTTCCTTATTCTTAACAACATTACTCTTGGAATGTTTATATGAAAACACATTTTTTGTAGTTGGTGGAACTTCTTTCCAAATAAATGCATATAGAACTGTAGCTCTGAATTTTGCCAATTGCTTTGGGAAAATAAATTTGATTTGGGAGCTTGCATTTTTACAATCATGGCCACTGGCATGACCCAATAATTTCTTCTTTAATGCCAGATAGATACCTTGTCCTAATATGCTTACAGTCTGTGACTGTAGACATCCACAGTACAATCAGTTTATGGATTGGCAAACCTCAGCCTCACTCATTGTTGCACTCTAAACACAATAAATATGCCCCCCAGTCTAAAAGATCAGAGATCCCAATTCTAACTGAGCACAAAAAATAAAGGCTCAGCTATTGTTGTGTGGTTGAAGACGAAATTGTTTTGTTACCAGAGGATAAAGGTAAGAAGTTCATCCATTGCTGGAAGTAGTAAAGTAAACTTTACAAAGTACACTGAAGTGTAATGTAGATTGATAGGTCTGAGTTTAGTTTAGAATATAACATTAACAATTGTAGATTGTATATAGTTTAATATATTAATTCAGGTTTACCTAACAAGCCATAAACAAATGAATTCTTACTACTTTTGGCTAATAGGCATTATAGCTATTAACTATCTGTAACATTTGAGGCAATATACTTCTAGATATCTATTGCTGGAAAACACAAGCAAGAATCAATCTTCCATTTTAGGGCAATTGGCTTATCACTAAAGGAAACAATTATATTCTGCCAGATATAGTGATCTAGCAGTGGTTGCCTTATTTTATACTTAGCTTTGCTGGGATATAAGCATGTGTTGTTAATTTTAATCTCATAATTTTGTCTTCATGCCTAACCTTATTTAAATCCTTTCAAACTAGTTCCTAATCAATTTCAGCAACTATCTGGAGTAAAATGCAAAGCAAACAAACTGTAAATGAAAAGCAGAAGCTATTAATTGAAAATCACATCAGTTCATTTCCTCTGTTCCTTGTTTTGTTTGTTTGTTGGCAAAATTATCATTACAACTGGGAAATGTGCTGTTGGGAGGTGAAACAGCTGGTGAAACAGCTTTGTGGTAAACAAAACTTTCTTGGGGTTTTAGTGTAAATCTATTGGTAACTGTTTTTGTCAAGAAGCACTGGGTAAAAACATGATTGACTGAATGCGAAAAACAGCTGCTCTACTTGAACTGGGCACTTGGGAAATAGAGTATGGTGTAATTTCCATTTGGAAGTTTGTCCTGCTATTCTGCTGCAAAGAGAGAAAGTGAAACTAAGATGTCTGTGGCTGGTTTGTGGCCCAGAGGTTTGTTGAGAACCCACCCAGTATGATTAGTTTGTTCAGATAGGTTGAATGAATCCCAACAATGTGCCTTTAACGGCAACTTGATATAAATCAATTGGCCTGGTAATGACAGTACTTATAGGGGGCGTGCATAAGCGCACCATCGTGCCTACCGTCCCTGTCCTATTGTTTCTCTTATTCTTTTATTTTTCTTATATGTACCCATTTCATGTATTCACAACTATGTATACACTTATACTTATTATCTTGTAAACAATTGGCAAATCAAATAAATAAAATAAAATAAATAAATAAATTTTCAAAGGATGGGGGAACTTCTGGGATACCAGCATTTACACCACATTTGGAATACATCTAAGGTTTTTTTTTCTTTGTATCTACATTGTAATCATTGTACTACAATTAGAAATGGCTATAGCTCTAGAGTTTGCAGATAATGTCAGACAAATAGTTTTTACCTTGTCCGATCTCCCTCCCTGCCTTCTCCCACCCATCCCTGTATGTGTGTCCTGCTGACATAGAAGAGAGCACTAAACTTCTGTTCAAGTCTTTCCAAGTGACAATGACCAAATGATAAACTTGTATTCAGATCTCTCTCTCTCCCCCTGGTGTGTATGTGAGGAGGGGGGAGAATGAGCAGGTAGGCTATTGAAAGATCAACCTTAAAAATGTATACAAAGGAATACTGGAACCTTGCTGAATAATAAATTTTCTAGTGACAAAAAATATGGGAGAAAGAAGACTATATGTTATATTTGTTCTGATTTCAGATGGAAACAAAATATGCAATTGAGAAATTTTTCCTATAAATATCAACCTATTTCAGTATATTGTATAAGATACTGAAAGAATGCTAGTAAATATTCTGCATTTCAAAGGAAAATGTTTTTTCCTTTTATAAGGAATAGAGTCTGAAAAACCACAGTTGAAAATGATTAATTAACATAGAAATCATCAAATAACATTTTGTTAACAAATCAAAACTGATGCCTGGAATGGCTCAAAGCATCAATATCTTGGATATTTTAGCATTTTAAAAATGTCTTTGGTCAGAGCATATAATAATTATTTGGGAATAACATCTATTGAGTTTAATGTGTTGTGGGAATACTGCCACTGAGTAATGAATCAGACAACAGCATTTTAATTTGCGATGCACACACATCCTCGATATGAACAACGGGATTGTCTGGTCAATTGAGAATGTGTGATACTCACATACCCACTTTGCCCAACCATCACCAATTTCAGAAAGCTATTCAGGGTTGGCTGTAAAAACTATTTGAAAAGAAGGCCACCAAGAAATCCCAGGAGTAGATATTAGATAAGGAAATATTCATAACAAAATTAAAGAAGAAAGCATTAGCAATCCACCATTATATTTCTTGTTGCCAGGCAAATTATATGGATGCAATCACTAGGAATAGAAAATGACCTGAGGGCACATAATCAAAAAGATTTGTAGTAATTTAACTCAATTTGAAGGAATCTTGACTTTATTTTGCTAGTAGTTCATTTGTGAATAGTATCACCAATTAATATCAGAATAATATCCTCTGACCCTTCATCATGGTCCATACTAGAAATGCTTTATCTTCCCTTGCAGATTCAGACGACTAGGGGGACCTCTGTAGAATTCCACAGGTTGAGGAATGAAAAAGAGAAAGGCGAGCCAACAGGCAGGAAGTCTGGGGGTGGAACGCGGAAGCCATCTGCTGCCTCGAAAGCCAGAGGGAGCCACCTGCTTGCTGGATTTCCAGGCAGCGAAGGAATTTGTTCTTTGACCGGGGAGGGAGGGAGGGAGAGAAAGAGAGAGAGAGAGAGAGAGCTTTCGCACAACTTCTGCTTTGTATTGGACCATTTTGAAGAGAGCGAAGGCCCAAGGCTTCCTTTCTTGCGTGGGCTTTATTTCTGAAGCTTCTTCAGCCACTTTCCCGTAGGGCGCCTTTTGCTTTGCTGGACGGTCTGGCGAGTCAGCGAACGAGCGCGCTCCAGTGGGGAGCTGAGGCTGAAAGGTAAAATTTCTGTAGTGCTTTTGCTCTCAACTCGCATATTTCATCTTGCACAAGCAGTACGTGAGAAGCGAGTAGGATAGATGAGCTTTTCCGCGCGGCTGATTCGCAATCCTGCTTTTGTTAGCGAAGAAGTAAATGTTCGGTTTAATCTTGTTTTGTAATTTCTGTCAATGTTGCTGCCGATAGCAGTAGCGATAAGAAAAGAATTTTTGCATAGTTGATTTGTTTCTACAAATAATTCTAGTTTGACACTTTCCTTTTTAAGAAAGTTATTATTCCATCTGTTCATACGTTATCACTTTGTCAGTCCTGAATGTCATAAAACAAGTGGATTGAGAAGTCATTTGGACCTACAAGATGTATAAAATGCTTTGACACAATGCAGTGGAATTAAACACACTTAAGTGCCATCCATTTTAACAACAAGCATTTCAGTAGATTATGTGTTCCCTTTTGAATCACTTGAGAGTAAAAATATTTACTTTGAGCAGAATGATATTCCTAGTTTCTATGCATGTATGTATATATGTATAAATAAATAATAAAAAAAATGAAAAAATATTGGCCTCTCTCAGAAATTGGTTTAATCAAGCAAATTGTAGTTAACCACAGGGATGTTGTGCAGAACCAACTGTTGTGTGGTCTCCACTTTTTTTAAAAAAAATTCAACTCTGAATTCCATTACCATGCTGTAGTTGAAGAAAGATTTAATTTGTAGATCTCTATCCAGTTGCTCTAAACAGACATTATTAAGGAAGTATAATAAGTTATTGCTCCTTGTTCAATGGAACAAATCCTGGAAAAAAAACCTAAAGAATTAACATGGGTAACTTGGGTAACAGAATAGATTTTGATTTTGATACAATTCCTACTCTTACTCCAGTGGATTGTCTGAAAGTTCAGGTTTCTTTTTTAACAATAAGTAAATTAGCAGGGTATGCTGGATGCATTTCTGGATTTAAAAAGGCTTATTTTCAACCTGGCAGCCCCCCCCCCCCCCTCTATTTTACTGTGTCCTAGACTCAAACTGAATGAGCCTTCTCTAATGCTTGCTATCAGGTTATACTTGATAGAGTTTAAATAGGATCAAGAGGATCTCTGTTTGCCAGGAACCACTGATATCATAAGCTGATGTAGTATGATGTCTCTTGGAAAACTTGTTTGATCTGCTCCAACAAAGCAAAAAGAAAAGGAGGAGGATGAATGGCTTTGTTCTGATGAGATGTGAGATGAATGGATTCCTTGGCTCAAATAGTTTATCTAATTAATTCTGCATTGGATGCAATTTGTTTTCTTCTGTTACAGTGATTAAGGCATCAGGCTGGAAACCAGGTGATACTTCATTCTAGTCCCATTTGGACACAAAGCTATCTTGATAAGCTTAGGCTTATCACTTTTTCTCAACTCTAGGAAGGAATACCAAACTACTTCTGAAAAATCTTGTACAAAAAGCTGCAAGAACTTGTCCAGGCAGTCCTTGAAATTCGACATTATTGAACAGAAGAAAAAAAAATGTTGGGTCTAGTTTATAATAAAAAAATATTACTACTTTATAGCATTTAAAGGGCCTGAGAACATGGGAATGATATTCTAAGCAGTGCTTTCTATTAATAGAATAGATTTTGTGATACAATCAGGGTAGACATAGTTTTCAGATAGACACTTTATATTAAGACAGATCATTGCTTTCACTTTGATGCCCTCCAGATGTCAGGCTATGATTCAAGTTACCCTAGTCACCATAGCAAAGATCTTTATTGACTTGTGATAGGTAGTCTGACTATACTTTAAAATTTGAATTACCATTCAGTTTAACTCTCTCTTTACTGAACATTGTAATAAATAAAACTTTGAGTTAAAAGTTACTTTTTAATAGCTGGGTTAAATTCTCCATTTGTAATACAATGTTGATTTTCTTTATCTTTGAAATAATAGCTGTGTCAACATCTTCCTTCAACAAAGGCAGCATTTGCATAACTTGATTATAGTGCAAGATTAGCTACATTTTACAACTGCCTTTATCCAAATGCAAACTGTTGGCTAGGTAAGACAATAGATTAAATAACAAGTGCTGTTCAACATAGTTGGAGTATTTATTTGAAAAATTTATTAGTCATCTATGCCAATGTACCACATATAGAAGACCCTGGATTAAAATTAAAATTTGACTCTTAAAGTGAATCTAGTTAATTTTCATATGCACAAGCACACTCACACACTTCAGTTTCAGAAAATGCACTTAGTACCTCACTGAATTATAACATAGTATTATGGTGTTAATGATTTCCAGACTCCTGAAAATTATATAACTTAGTGGCCTTTCACACCCAGTGCCACATTCTGATCCACCCAAAAGCTGTAATGCTGTATTAGAAACCAAAGCTGTTTTACGGAAATGATTTAATAAACAGTCCATGTAAATTCATGCAAACATTACTTCAGCAGGAAATAATTCTTGTTAGATAATAAATGAACATCTTATTTCATTAAAATATCATTACTATAGTTTGCAATTTACTTACACTTAACTGGGTTGCACAGGCCAAGCATGGACACTTTTCTCATATAGGGTCATATTGGAGTATGTCTAATTTTGGTTGAACATGTTATGTCAATCTAGCCATTAAGGTTTGGAAATCATGGTTAATGGTTTATTATAAGTGCCTTTATTGTCTTCCATCATGATTTCCTTAAACATGTTTTACTAAGTAAACCAGAGTTACAGGTAGAGTATGCAAAATGCTTTACAAATCAGAGTGGTTGCTTTTCTTTACAGCAAAAAAATTAAATTAGAATACTTATATAATGTGAGATGTTTCTGATGTTTTCTTTTTATACCAAAAGTCATATTTTAGAATCTTTCATTGTATGATCAGAAATTGCAAGATTTCTCATAATTATATTCTTTCTTTATCATTTTTATTTTTACTGTATAAAATACAAAGAAGAAAAGAAAACAAAATAAGGGAGGGAAAAAGAAAGTGGGGAAAACGGGGTGTGAGATACAAGGCAGAAGAGAAAAAGAAAGAAAAGGGGGAATTGACTTCCAGCTCTTAGCACAGTATAAGATAACACACCCTAGCCTCAACTTTTTGCTTTTATACATTAATATATAACTAGCTATTTCTATAACACCAGGTCTTTCTAAACAACAAAATCAAGGTCAAAGTTTCATTTTTTTTCTTCACAAGCGCAAATTCTAGAAGTGATATCCAAATAAGAACATATTTTCCTCTTTGAATAAAATAATCAATTTAACCATTCCTGCTTTATCTTCTATTTGCACCTAGTAATCTTTGTGAATTGTCACAATTTTTACTGACAAAAATTATTTTACTTTTAAATTCTTTGATCTTACAGAAAAATAGTGATAAAAACATCCTTTTTTCACCCTTTTCTTTCCTTCAAATTACTGAACTTAAAAAAAACCACTTTTTAAAAAACTTTTTAATACATCTTTTTATTTGACTTCTTAACATACTGGCTTTAAACTTGAGTATTATGTTTAGATCCCTCCCTCCAAACTACCCTTATAGATTTTTTCCCTTTTATAAACATCCTTTTTAATATAGAGTTTTTCTTTAAATTGGTACATCATTTTTTTTAAATTTTCTCTTAATACAGGTATTCTCAAATATATTTTAAACATCTTTGCCTACTTTAAGAATTACTTAAGTATATATGAAAAAATACATTTTCAGATTTTGAGTTAAATCTTTCTTTCAGTTGCATATATCAAGCAGAGAAAAATGCATTCTGATTCCAGTTAACTCATTAAGTTAAATCACTCATTTCAGCTTATCTTTAGGGAGTAAAATATTTTTCTTCTCTGGAAGTTTTATCAAAGACTTAAAGGCCTTTCTTTTTATCATGAGATCCACAAGCTTGTTAATGTCCTTAAAGAAAAAGTCCCAAATTTGTCTTTATTCTTCATGTTCTTCTTTCAGTTGTGTTGAGAGGTTTACATTTGAGCCATAGTAGTGAAAGTTAATATAAGGTTCTTCCAAAACTGTGATAACCTTCTCTGCATTTTCAGCTACTTGTGAAGTTGCTTTAGCAGTTTGGTAACATTCTCCACGTGTATGCATCTCAGAAGTAATTTGAGAGGATTTTTTATCAGAGAACAGCTGGTCAACAAATTGGCGTGTTTTATTTAGAGACCTTTCAAATATATTTCTAACACTTTGCTCCAAAATATTGGCTTCCTCTTTTAATCAGAATCAAAAGATTTTAGCCACCTGCAGCTAAGAAGATCAAGCAACCAGTTATAACAATAGTAAACTAAATCCACAGCTTACAATCTTTCTCCATCAGTTGCTTGGTTGCTAAACAGTGAAACTCTGGTAAAGTGGGCATAGCAGCACCTGCATTTTCTGTGTCACATAAGAAAAGTACATCTTCCTTCCCTGATCCTTACTACTTTCTATAGAGGGATGATCAAGAGCATCCTATCATATTGCATTACTGTCTGGTTTGGAAGCATTACTGCAGAGAATGGGGAGGGTGGCAGAAAAAAATATTGGTAGTTTGCTTCCTTCCATCCAGTATTGTCTGAGATGCTACACATGTTCTTTATGACCTGTTCTTGTTACCTTTGGTCTTCATGGTATCCGAAGCAGAACATCTAGATTCAGTCACAGTTTTGTTCCATATAGTATTGGCTTTGTAAATGGTCTATTTCTTCTTTCTGCTGTGTATTCAAAATGGACAGTGATTAATGTGTGTGTGTGTCCGTGTGTGTGTGTCCGTGTTTCTCCAAAAATAAGACGGGGACTTATATTATTTTTTGCTCCAAAAGATGCAATAGGACAATAGGTCTTATTTTGGGGAAAATATGGTACTAAATGCATCTATCTGACTGTCAAACTTAACTGAGACTTATTTTTGGGGTAGGGGTTATATTACGAGCATCCTCAAAAATCATGCTAGGGCTTATTTTCTGGTTGTGTTATGTATGT